AAATCCCTGGGTTCCTTTTACCTTTCCAGGGGAGTTCTGCTCTTCCCGGCTGCAAACTGTCTCACCAGCTGAGCAATTTCACAAATTCGGGGTGGGTGCTATTAGTTTCAGCTGCTCACTCCATTTGCTCCGGGACACGACCTGGGACGCGTCTGCCTATATCGCCGCCATCTGCGGGAGACCTTGAATGAAGGCATTTAACTATTACAAGAAAAAATGGGGAGTATGTTATACCATCTTAAGCATATAACTAATGAGAATTATTTCAATTCAATTCATATCTGCCCTAGCCGGTTTGGCTCAGTGGATAGAGCATTGACCTGCGGACTAAAGGGTCCCAGGTTCGATTCCGGCCAAGGGCACATGCCTGGGTTGCGGGCTCTCTATCCCCCCTAGTGGGGGGCGTGCAGGAGACAGCCAATCAGTGATTCTCATCATTGATGTTTCTATCTCTCTCCCTTCCTCTCTGCAATCAATAAAAAAAATATTTAAAAAACAAAAAGAACAGCATATCCAACTGGAAATACCGAACCTGGAAGCAAGTAAAATATGCATAGCATGTTCATATACAGTGTACACCTCTAGGGTATAGAGGAATGACAAACTTTGTAGTTACTCTGACTTCCTTTATTTTTATGTTTGAATATAGACCTCTATGTATGATATAAAAGTCATAAAAGGGATGAACTATAAAATTGACTGCATTATTTTTAATGTGCAAAGAAAGGCATATATAAAAAAGCAGAAGACAAAGGTCAAATTGGTGCAAATAATTACAGCATGTGTAACAAAGAATATACTTATTCCTTCAATATATAAAGAGGTTCTATCAATAAAAAAAAAAATCACTAACAGCCAATAGAAAGATGGGCATAATTCTCAGGAAGGAAAATTTAGATGACTTTTAAACAAAACAAGTCAGCCTTATTCATAATAAAACCAAAATAGAATAAAAATTAGTTACTATTTTTAACCTAAAAATTGACAGAAGTAAAGTTTGATAACACAGAGTTGGTAAGGCTATCAGGCAGGGGTCCTCAAACTTTATAAACAGGGGGCCAGTTCACTGTCCCTCAGACCATTGGAGGGCTGGACTATACTTTAAAAAAAAAAAACTATGAACAAATTCCTATGCACACTGCACATATATTATTTTGAAGTAAAAAAACAAAACGGGAACAAATACAATATTTGTATTTGCATGTGGCCCTCAAGGCGTAGTTTGAGGACCCCTGAAAGGAATGGATACTTTCATATATTTTGAAGGGAGGGTAAGTTGGTACAACCAATGTGTGTAAAGAGTCATTGCAGTAATAAAATATTTTACTTTTAAAAGTGTTTGTAATACGTAGTCCATTACTAAAAGACTCAGTAAGTAAACTGCTATAGCCACAAAAGAAATACTGTGTAGGTAACAAAGAAAACATTAAGGCAAACTACATAAGATAAATGCCTGTTACTAAGTGTGAAAAAACAAAATGCAAACTGATACAGTATTCAATCTTATATGTAAGGAAAAGGGATGTTTATGCATATATGTGTTATATGTCTAGAATATTTCTGGAAGCTTATAAATGAACTGGCACCAGGAGCTGTCTCTAGAGAAGGGAATGGTTAGATGGTAGTTGAGGTTGGGAGGAGACTTAGTTTTCACTGTATACTCTTGTCTCATGAATTTGTATCATCGGCTTCCATCATTTATTCATTCACCCAACACGTATTTGTTGAACTCTGCTGTATCCCAGGTACTATGCTAGGTGCTAAAGATAGAGCAGTGAATGAGATAACAAAGCCCTCTTGCAGAACTTAGTATTCTAAGAGTGGGTGAGGCTATGAACAGCTAATAATTTCATAAACAAGTAAATATAAATGTGCAATATGTCAATAAGAGGTAAGTACAGGCCTACCTCGTTTTATTGTGCTTTGCTTTATTGTGCTTCACAGATGTTGCATTTTTTACAAATTGAAGGCAAGACCCTCTACCAGCAGAAAGATTACGACTCACTTTATTGTGGTACTCACTCTAATTGTGGTGATTTGGAATGAACCCTCAATATCTCTGAGGTATGCCTGTACTCCGGTGAAAAAATAATAGTAAGTTAGGAAGTGCTGATATAGGCTGGTCAGAAATCTCTGAAGCAGTGATGACTGAGCAGAGACGTGAAGGAAGCTGGGGAATACAGCACGGCACGTAGAAATATCTGGGGGAAGAAAGTTGCAGGCAGAGGAAACTAAGAACAGAGGTTATGAGCCATAAATTTGCTTGGCATGTCTTGAGGAATAACCAAGAAGTCTGAATGTAGTGGAATGAAGTAGGGAGAGATGGACAGGTAATGATGTCAGAACAAGTGGTACTGGTAGCATAGGGCTCGGCTCTGTAAAGCTGTGTGACGTTTACACTGACAGATGCAAGGCCAGCTGGATGTTTTGAAGGTAATTGCTCCACACAGCACAATTATTCTGACTGCTGGGTGGGGGTAGGACAGTGTTCATCACTGGAATAATGTGAGCTGCTTATGTAACTTAACATTTTCTAGTAGCCACATTTAAAAAGGTAAAAAGAAACAGGTAAACTTCGATTTAATGATAGATTTTATTTAACCCAATATATCTGAAATTATCATTCAGCATGTAATCAATATAAGCACATTATCAACGAGATACTGTACATGTTTGGGATACTTGGCCTTCAAAATCTGATGAGTATTTTACACTTAGATCAGATCTCAATTTAGATGTTAAATTTTCTCAACAGTTAATGTGAAATGTAATACTATCAAAAGGGAAACTATTTTATACTGCTTTAGTTTTTAAGTTTAATTAAAATTTAGTAGATTTAAAATTTCAAGTTCTCAGGCACACTAGTCACATTTCAAGTGCTTAATAGCCACAAGTGTCTAGTGACTACTGTATAGGACAGAATTAGAATAGAGTTGGGGGCAGAGGTGGGAATGCACAAGCAGTTGATGAATCAGTAACTTAAACGAGATGGTGACTTGGACCAGAGTGATAGCAGTGGAGTGGGTGAGAAGAGGTTGTATTCAAGATAAATTTTAAAGATAGAGCTGATGGGATTTATTATTGGAGTGAATGTAGGATATAAAAGAAAGGGAGAAGTCAACAGTGATCTTTGAGGAATAGAGTTGGCATTTACTGAGATGAAGAGAGATGGGAGAAGGAGGCTTCAGGAGGGATGGGGAGCAGTCTGGAGTTAGATTTGGGGTGTTAAGTTTGAGATACTAAACATAAAAATGGGGATATAAGAAATGATAGCTGGATATGTGAATCTGAAGGTTAGGAGAGAGGTTTAATCTGAAGAACTATATGTGAGAGACAACAGGCCACGTAGGGAGGAAGAATTGACGGAGAAGAGTTGGAGGACCAAACCAAGGGGCTTCCAAATGTTTTTAGAGAAGAAGCCAGCAATCAAGACAGAAGAAGCCCGTGAGTTAGAAGAACCATAGAGAATGGTGGTTTGGATGCCAAATGAAGAGTATCTCAAAGGAAAGTATGAGGTTTTTTTAAGCATCTAATAGTTTAAAGTAACTTGAAAGCTGAGAATTGACCATTGGATTTAACAACATGAAGATGATCTTGACAAGAACTGTTTCAGTGAAGTTGTTAGGGAGAAATGGGAGTGGGTTTAAAAAAAACAACAGTGGAGAAATGGAGATTGCAAATGTTGATGGGTTTTGTGAATTTTGCTGTAGAGTGCAACAGAAATGAGTTGGGAGCCAGAGAGTTACGCATTGTTTGCTTTATAGATGAAAGAAATATGGCATGTTTCTGTGTGGATGAGAATGATCTAGCAGAGAGGGAAAGATGGCGATGATTCAAGAGACTTAAAAGAGACAGTACCTGGAGGGATGTCATTTAGACAAATACATGACCTACCTGTTTAAAAAATAGCCCCAATTGAGATAACAGAAGAAGAGAAACAAAAGGGTTGTATTATCTGTAATTAGTCTCTTACTAATAAATATAAAATTGCGTAGGTCACTTTTCCCCATCATTTTTTTTTTTTAATTAAGGTACTAGACGGCCTGGTGCATGAATTTGTGCATGGGTGGGGTCTGGCCGCCTACCCCAATGGGGGCCGATTGGGGCCAGGTTGATGGGGAAGAGGGGACACGGGAGGTTGGCCAGGTAGCCCCGCCCCTGGTCAGGGTGGGAGGGGGCCGCTCACGGGCCAGGCTGGCTTTGGGGGAAGAGGGGCCACAGGCGGTTGGACAGGGCCAATTGGCCCGATAGGACAACTTGGCCGCTGTAGTGCATGTCATAGCGATCTGTTGTTCCATCATTCCAGTTGCTTGACTTTTATATATATTGATAATTCACATGTAGTAGATTACATTTGATAAACACATATACCACCACAATCTAGGTCATATTAAAACTTTTATATTTAAGGCTGTAGGCTAGCTTGTCCTATGAGGTTGGACCCTGTACATATATGATATACCACTATTTCTGCTTTGACGTATTTGTAAACCCATAAAATAGGCATATTCTTTCCTACAGTAAGTTACTAATTTGGTTCTACTAGGAGGATGTAATACAGGCTTGGGTTAGGAAGGTTTTCCCAAAAGCTAATTCAGGCAAAAAACCAATTTTTTTCCAGAAAGTCAGTGCTGTGAAAAAATAATTTATACTGGCATCATGTAGACAAACCACAATTATTTGACTGCTTTTTTTTTTTCATTTTAATTGGACATATTGAAGGTGAGTAACTATAACTGGAAGAATGATGAGTGAAAGAAATCACTACTGTCTAGACAATTCTAATGGAAAACAGAAAAATCCATTTACTCAAAATTGAAATAAATTTTGAGTCAAAATTTTGTGTCTGTGCCAAGATTTGGCATAAGGTTTTACCTCTTTTCCTAGCCACTTCCCAAGGTGATTGATCTCATTTAGTTAATTCAGGGAATTTCCAGAACCAAAACCCAGGCAGGTCTCTAAGTTTTTGTTTTTAATAAGTGCATCAAGTGCCAGGAATTGGCTTCTGGACAGTATTGGGTCCCTGTTGCCAAGATGCTGGGAATTATGGCCAAGCCGTTATGCAAAAATGTTTAGACTTGGTTTGGTTTTACTTCTTTTAACCTGACAGGTATTTCGGGGGACTGAATGTTTGTAACCTATTTAAATATGTCCTTTTGACCTATTTATTATTTTGACCTAGTTTATTCAGTGAAAGTAAATTGTGTAAATACGTACATGGCTTTTATTTTTGAATAATACAACTATTGAAATCCCAGTGGAGCCCCTTTAATTGCTTATAAGACAGGTTTTATTTTTACTAATAAAAATGCAACCTGGCCTGTGTGGTTCAGTGGTTGAGTGTTGACCAATGAACCAGGCTGTCACTGTTCAATTCCCCGTCCAGGCACATCTCTGCCAACTCGGCATTATCTACCTATTTAATCTTCATCAATCTGGTAGATGAAATTTTTTCCTTTTTTTAAGTTTTAATTTTTTATTATTAAAATCAAGCATTTTTCATATGATCACTGACATTACTATTTCTTCATGTATTGGCTAATTTTTATATTAGGGTATTGTCTTATTGTCATTGATTTATAAGTGGGAAGTTAAATAAAAATTTCTTAAGGATAGTAATCCAGTGATCTATGTGTTGCAGAATTGTTTACCAACTCTGAGATCTCTTTTAAGTATATTTGGTCAGTTGTTACTTAAAAAAAACTTATTTTTAGGTAGTCAAATCTGTCAGTCTCTTTTCAGTTAAGATTTCTAAATTCTATAACATGCTTGGAAGGGCCTTCCTTATTCCCAAATTATTAAAAAAATAGTTTTATTTCTTCTAATACTTCTATGGCTTTCCTTTTTTTTACAGTTTTAATTTTCATATTTAAATATTTTATCTTTCTGGAATTTATTTTTGTGCAAGATGAGAAACTGAAATATAAGGTTTTGTTTAGTCAGATGGACAATTTTTGTTTCAACAAGTGTTTCTAAAATATTCCATCCTTTCTTCATTGGTTTGAAATGCTACCTTTGCCATATATAGAATTTTCATATAGAGATGAAGTACTTTCTGGACTTTAATTTCTCTTTTGTGAATCTATTTATCTGATTCTTAGCCAGTGTCACATTATTTCAGTCACTTTAGCGAAGTAATAATTTTGAAATCTGGTAGGCTAAAATTCCCTCCTTCCCCATTATTCCTTTTTTTCAATATTCTTCGCTGTTCTACTCAATATTCTTGGCCTTTCCTCTTCTACTTTAGAATCAATTTTATTAAGTTTCCTCTAAATTCTTTTGGTGTCAGTTGACATGATATTTCTCTTTTTGATTTTGACCAGTGTTTTATATTCTTCATTTTTTTAGTGTTAGGGTTAAAATTGGGGTCAAGCGGTTTCCTAACCCTAATTATCTTTTTTTGTTGCTTTACTGTTTTTTTGCGTTTGCTTCTAACAGTGTATCAGAGATGACCTCATCTTAAACATTCAGCAGTATTAGATCATTTTAAAAATCTATCTGAGCCCTAGCTGGTTTGGCTCAGTAGATAGAGCATTGACCTGCAGACTAAAGGGTCCCAGCTTCAATTCTGGTCAGGGCACATGCCTGGGTTGTGGGCTCGATCCCCAGTAGGGGGCATGCAGGAGGCAGCTGGTCAGTGATTCTCTCTCATCATTGATGTTTCTCTCCTCTCTCCCTTTCTCCCTCCCTCCCTCCCTCCCTCCCTCTCTGAAATGAATAAAATATATATTTTAAAAAATCCATCTGAAAGCCAGACTTTTCCAGACTCTTCTTCACATGGATCTGTGATGTGTGCTTTTGCCTGGGGCTGAGTTTACGGCATGAATGTATCAATTACATAGCTCTTCCTCCCCTAGAATCATAGATTATTCTCCAGTTTGGCAGACTCTTAAACTATTGAATAACCATATTTATAGAGTTTTTATTTTGTTTTATTTTATTTTTATATTTTATTGGTTTTTTACAGAGAGGAAGGGAGAGGGATAGAGAGTTAGAAACATCAATGAGAGAGAAACATCGATCAGTTGCCTCCTGCACACCTCCTACTGGGGATGTGCCCACAACCAAGGTACATGCCCTTGACTGGAATCGAACCCGGGACTCTTGAGTCTGCAGGCCGATGCTCTATCCACTGAGCCAAACCTGTCAGGGCTAGAGAGTTTTTATAATAACCTTAATCTTTAGCAATTAATAGGATGTTATTTAAAAAAAAATTTTTATTGATTTCAGAGAGGAAGGGAGAATGAGAGAGAGAGAGAGAGAGAGAAACATCAGTGATGAGGGAATCATTGATCATCTGCCTCCTGCATGTCCCCTATTGGGGACTGAGCACACAACTTGGGCATGTGCCCTGACTGAGAATTGGACCGTGACTTTCTAGTTCATAGGTTGATGCTCAAACTATGAGCGACGCTGGCCGGGCAGGACTGGATATTCAAATTTACTTCAAACTTAGTGTAAGCTATGATACCTGTTAAAAAGTAAGAAAAGATACAATGTAGGCTACATTACAGGAAGTATGGCATCCAGATCAGAAAAGGTAATAGCTCCAATCTATGCCAACCAGTTTTTATAGACTCGTACAGTGATTTTGTACCAGGGACTAACCCAGATGCTAGGGTGCGAAGCTGAGAGACATAGCTCACTTATAGTAGAACTATTGGTAAATGGTAACAGGCTCTCTGAAAAGCCAGAGGAAAGGGATCCAGGCCCTAGCCCAGCCGTGGGCAAACTACCGCCCGCGGGCCGGATCCAGTCTGTTTGAAATGAATAAAACTAAAAAAAAAAAAGACCGTACCTTTTATGTAATGATGTTTACTTTGAATTTATATTAGTTCACACAAACACTCCATCCATGCCTTTGTTCCCGCCCTCCGGGCCAGTTTAAGAACCCATTGTGGCCCTCGAGTCAAAAAGTTTGCCCACCCCTGCCCTAGACCACAGAGGCAGGGACAGCATTTAAGGAGGAGGTGCCACAGAGCACAGGCTGGAGAGGTGGAGCCATGGCCCTCACCAGCTATGAGACCTTGTACAAATCATTTAACCTCACTCTGTCTCATTGTCTTCATGTGTAAAAGGAAGTCAGTAGCAATGTATTTCACACGGTTGTCCTGAGCATTAATGAGGTGATGTATATATGTGAAGCCTCAAGAGTAGACTCTGGCACACAGTAGTAATTCAGGAAATGGTATGGAATCCCATTTTGAAGTGTTAGAAGGTAGTTGTCCCATCAGAGACAGACTTCCCAGCTGAAGGACTGGTGTACACCAAAGCCGGGGGAGTTAAGCTGGGCCTTTCCGGGACTGTAGAGTATTTCATGATTGGCGTGTGGGGTGCTTGGGGGGAGTCGCTAAAATAAAACTGGGAAGGGAGGCTTCTGTTTTGAGAGCAGGAGCTTTGTGCCGTGTTGAGGAATCTGAGAGGCATTTAGGACGTGTCCTGGGGTCCTTGAAGGTCTGAAGTTGAAGGGGACTGTCCAGACCAGTTTCACCAGTTGAAAGACTGGTTTGTTGTAGATGTGTGGAGGGGGAGGGGAGCTGTTTGAAGTGAACAGTGGTGCTCATCCCTGGCTGCGCTGGGAACCATCTGGAGAACTTTTAACGGTCTGGTGCCCAAGTTGCCTCTGTATCAATTATATCAACAGCCCTGAGGGTAGGACCCAGGCATTGCTTCCCGGACAGTCCCACTGCACAGCCACGGTTGTGAACCATGGTAACTGCATTCAAACCAGATTTGATAACGTTCTCAATTAAAGAAGTGCCCACCAATTAAAGGATCCAGGGAATGATAAGTAAGATATGGTGGTTAGTTGGTTGAGGAGAGGGTTGATTATTTCTGGAGTGGGTCTCTGGGTAGACGTTGATCAATGCTCAGTTGTATACCAAGACTGAGAACATGAAAGAGAAGCAGATTTGGGTCTGAGGCTTTATTGAGTGAGCATGAGAAAGATAATGTGATTTTAAAATGTGGATATCGAGGGAAAATGATACCCGACCAATGGGCAGAGAGTGAAACTGAAGGGGCAGAGCCAGTGGTATAGTTGAAAACTCAAGGGACAGTGAGTACATAATTGATGTCTAAGATGCTTGAGGAGACTGGAAGTGTAGAGTAGACATGAAAGAAGTAATTTATATGAGAATTTCCACTCAGAGAGACATAAGTAAAAGTATGTGAGGGTGCAGATAGGTCACAGGTTGAGGAAGAAGGGCTGTCAGTGTAGTCTGATGGTCTGTTATCCTTACTGCAGGAGACATGAGTATCTGTGAGAATCAGGAGGTAAGAGAAAGGGATTAAGGAGTATGAGCGAGTTTAGTGAGCTGAGGAAGGAAGTGTCTTTGTAGCCCTGCTCCTAAATGTTGGTTTTTCCCCAGAGTTTCAGGATTGACTCTCCTTTACATACATAACTTGCTGGGTGATCTCCTTCGTTACATCATATTACACTGCTACTTTCTAGGAGAAACATTGATAAACTGAAGTTTGAAGCAGTTAAGTAGTTGATATGGTATTTCAGAAGATTATTGATTGGCTTAGGACGGGGGTGGGGGGCAGTGCCCTGATACCATAATTCAGTGGTTCTCAACCTTCCTAATGCCGTGACTCTTTAATACAGTTCCTCATGTTGTGGTGACCCCCAACCATAAAATTCTTTGAGTTGCTACTTTATAACTGTAATTTTGCTACTGTTATGAATCGTAATGTAACTATCTGATATGCAGGATGTATTTTCATTGTTACAAATTGAACATAATTAAAGCATAGTGATTAATCACAAAAACAATATGTAATTAAATATGTTTTCTGATGGTCTTTGGTGACCCCTGTGAAAGGGTCGTTCCACCCCCAAAGGGGTCGCAACCCACAGGTTGAGAACCGCTGCCATAATTTAAAATTTAACCCTTTTCGGTCCAACGTCAAGGCTGAGGTTGACACCGCAAACCAGTTCAACATTCAATACCATCAATTAATTTGGACCAGACTGTTTGAATTCCAAAAATAAAATTGGACCGCAAAGGGTTAAAGTGTTGAAATCACTTGAAAATCCTACAATTTCCAGCATTCTTAACCTAGGTAGCATATTTTTTTCTCTATTGTAATGAAACATCAAAAAACTACCAACTCAATATTTTGAAAACATGTAAAATATAATAAATTTTATATTTATATTATAAAGAAATTCTAATATGCTTTCTACTTTTTTTTCTTTATACTTTTTTTGTTCTATGTCTAATAAAGATCTAACTGAATTTCTCAACTCTGATATTAACTATTAGAGGCCCGGTGCACGAAGTACATGCGCTTGGGCGGGGGGTGGTCCCTCAGCCTGGCTTGCACCCTCTCACGGTCTGGGAGCCCTTGGAGGATGTCCAACTGGACATCCTTCTTGCCACCACCACTGCATTTACCAGCCATGAGCCCAGCTTGTGCATCTGCCCCCTGGTGGTCAGTGCGTGTCATAGCAACCGGATATTCTGCCGTTTGGTTGATTTGCATATCAGCCTTTTATTATATAGGATGCTTTGCATTATATATTCTCCAAATATTTTTTTCCTACATAAAACCAACTAAATATCCAGTAGTTAATTGGCAGATAGACTGAACTGTTAATTTTACAGATTTCCTACTCAGCAGAACTAATTGTATTCACTACAACAAAGCAAGTACGCCTTCTTGTTTATAATTTAAATTATAAATTGCTTAATCAAAACTGGGATTAGGACCATGGGGTTAGAACAGCCGTGGGCAAACTACGGCCCGCTCAGCTGTTCTATCCGGCCCGCGGAGCCGAAAGAGCGGAGGGTTCTCTTGCTCTCCCCTCCGCTCCTTCACCAGCAGCAGTGTTAACATGTATTAGTTCACACCAACACTCCATCCATGCTTTTGTTCCGGCCCTCCGGTCCAGTTTAAGAACCCATTGTGGCCCTCAAGTCAAAAAGTTTGCCCACCCCTGGATTAGAAGGTGGCCTTAATATTGCAGAACACTAACCCGGTGTTTTGATATCATTTCAGGTAACATTTCATTGGTTGCTTTTCCAGTTTCCAGCACCAACTCACCAACAAAGATTTTACCAAAAACCCTAGGACCAATAAATGTGAATGTTGGACCCCAAATGGTAAGAAAACCATCAAATCTTAGAACTTGAAAATTTACTAACTATGGATGGTCACATATTCTAGTTAATTTCTTAGTCACTTTTTAAAGTTTTATTTTTATCTGAATGTAACTGACTAAATCTTGAGAAAAAGAAAGGCACTCTTCAATGTTTAATTTTCATACATTTGACTCTGGATTCTGGATGTGTAATAAGATTTGCTCTGTGTGTGAGGCTTTTCTTGCTTCTCATTGGTTAAATTGATTTAAAATCTGTTATGTTTTATGTTCTCCTTCTGTTATTTCTTATAAAATAATCTCTACCACCCTAAACTATGTACTCATATAAATTGAACGTGACCCACTACTTAATTTCTATCTGGAGCTATTAATTTGAAATCTTTGATTAAAGGACATTTCAGGGGGAAACAACATGCCAATTCATTTACATTTTTAACAGAAATAATGGATGAAAAATGTTTAACTTTCTCTGTAAGTAGTTTATTAATGATGTTAGAGCTTGAAGTAGATAGCACTTTTTTTAAAAAGTATATTTCTATTTATTTCAGAGTGAAATGGAGAGGGAGAGAGAGATAGAAACATCAATGATGAGCGAGAATCACTGATAGGCTGCCTCCTGCATGCCCCCTACTGGGGATGGAGCCCACAATTGGGGCATGTGCCCTTGACTGGAATCGAACCTGGGACCTTTCAGTCCGCAGGCTGACGCTCCATCCACTGTGCCAAACCGGCTAGGGCTAGATAGCACTTTTAAAAAGCCTTATTTATAAACAAAGTCTCATACCCTACTACTCTAAAAACTATACCAAATTTGCCCTGGCCGGTGTGGCTCAGTTGGTTTGGTGTTGTTCTGGGTACCAAAAGGTCACCAGTTTGATTCCTAGTCAGGGCACAAGCCCAGGTTGTGGGCTCAATCCCCAGCAGGAGGGACATGCAGGAGGCAGCCCATCGATGTCTCTCTCTCTCGCTCTCCCTTTCTCTTTCTCTAAAATCAATGAAAACATATTTTAAGAAACTATACCTAATTTAAATGGCTTCACATACTACTTAGCAAAAGTGCATAAGCATTTGAACAAAAACTCTTCGTTGTCAGTGCTTACATGTTCTCATCTATAGAGCAACAAAGATAAAATTTGCCCATAGTATACAGCCCAGTAGAGTAGGTTAAACATAAAATTGTTTAGACAAAAATAACTTTTAACATACTTAATGGCTCCAGAAAGTCTTTACAATTTTTAAGACATTCTAGACATGACATTTTTCCTGATCGCTTGAGGACTGTTAATTATCTACAGAATCCAAGCCAAAGATCTTACACAATTTACTATAACTATGTGAAGAATGTGATCTAGCTACAAACTTCATAGAGACTTGAGCTCAGGTAAGTGTTCCCAATTCAAGGTAGTTCAGGGTATATTTTCCAACATTTGGCAGACATTTGCCCTTCACCAGCCACTACAGTAGGTACAAGTGAGATAAGACACCTGCCTTTAAAGTCTGTATTTTGAAATGTGATAATGTAAGCACCAAAATTAAACAAACATACCAGAACTCTTATGTGTTTGCCATAGAAGTCAATGGCATGTTGTTTTCCCTCTTACAGAAATCCTCTGGTTTTGAGATGCTATTTTCTATTAGTATTTTAGTGATGCTGCTATGGCTCAAGTGCAGGTTTCTCTATTGGAGACATGTAATTTCTCTTTCCATTGTTAGTTTGTATAATGTACATGACAGTCTTTATACACTTGGGTTCTGACAGTAAGCAATCAGATATACATGTTACTGACGCAGTTACTGCAGAATCAGCAAACAAAGGTCCGAAGGAGAGGAGATGTGGGGCTCTGCTTTAAACCAGGCCGGCCCAAGGCCTTTATTTGTCTCCCTAATTCTCGGGGGCTTTTTGCAGTTCTTAGGACTTGGACCAGAATCAGAGTTTTTGTTTTGATTTCCTAATTGATGTAGAACCCCAATTAGAGCCATTTCTTTCTTCTCCTCTTGCTTGCTTCTCTTGAACATTGTCCTTTCACCTTCAATTTTTCATTCATGATTTTTAAAAATATTTGTTTAGTTAGGAATTAGTGAATAAAACCTAATTTCTTCTTACGGAAAATTTAAATTTCATGTCTCTTTGGAAGCCAAATCTTAATGGTAGATAGAAATTTCAAAAGACCCTGAGAAAAAAAGTTTTGTTCAGTATTTATAGAAATTAGCAGTAACTTTTATTTTGGGATACTTTCCCTTTTCCTAAAGGTTTCTGCTTATATATATATAAGATACTCTCATGATTATCTTTATTTTAATGTGGTTAAAACTGCATGTTTCTTATATTGAAAACTAATGTTTTATCAAATAATGGAATCCTTGTCCTGGCCGGTTTAGCTCAGTGGATAGAGTGTCAACCTGCAGACTGAAGGTCCAGTTCATGAGTTCAATTCTGTTCAAGGACACATACTTTGTTTGTAGGCACCATCCCCAGCCCAGGTTGGGGGGCCTGCATGAGGCAACCAATCGATGAATCTCTCACATTGATGTTTCTCTCTCTGTCTCTCCCCCTTCCTTCCACTCTCTAAAAGTCAATGGAAAAATATCCTTGGGTAAGGATTAAGAACAACAATAACAACAACAAAAATGGAATTATTTAACATAACATTTTATAATTATATAGTTTTTTCCCCTTCAAAATAGGTGTTCCCTTGGCCTTTCTTAACTGTAGATGGCAGTAGTACATAAGATATATTGATTGAAGGTGGAAAATCTCTAGAATGAGGTTCAATTGCTGTATGATTTTCATTGCGTAACTGTAATCTGTTGTCAAAAGAAACCATGATTACATTTAAATTAAGGTCGTCTCTGTTTTTTTTTGGGGGGGGGGTGAAATTTATTCATTTTCCTTATCAGATCAACTGAATATCAGAAGTAGTTACCTCTAATTATCTTTCATTTTAATTTGGGATTTCAAAATTAAGGTTCAGTTTTATAAAGTGTGTCTGACTCATCACCTACATAGTTTTCCTATGTTTAATGGTTGATTAGTTCTGTTGACTTTCCTTTGGTTTTGTTTCTTAAGACTCACTGTCCTAGTTTAAGAATTCATTGCATCTCACATGAACTTATAACTTGTCTTTCCAGTTCAAGTCCTTCATCTCCAATTTGTTCATTCAGGAAATGTTTATTAAGGACTTACTGTGTATCAGGCCCTTTGCTAAGAGAAGGGAACAGAGTATTGCTATTTACTCTCAGATCAGAAGAAAATATCTGACAAAGAGGAAGAAAAAATAAACCAGAACATAGCAGTTCATTTCCAAAGTCATTCTCAGTAATGATAACCATGTTTCCCTATGCTTGTTTCCCTTCCTTCTTTCTTTTTCTTTCTACAAAGCCCTTTAAATCAGATAAAACCGAGCCTGTAGGCTACTAATAACAGATATAGAGAAAGAACTCCTTAGTAATAAAACTGCACAAGTAATGCAGTCTGTTTCAGGGGTAGGTTGGAACACATAGAATTGCTTTTTGGACACCCCTATTCTTGAAAGTGTAGACAAGACTGATCAAATACTGAAATTTTGCTCCTTAAGCTGTCACACTCAATGACAATATGATAAAGGACATCTGAATGTGTGATGTAGTGATTGGAGAAAACTGTCTTTTATATCGTATTTTTCTTATTGGACTTTTTTATAATCCTTTGTAGCATATCAGTGAATAAAGAAACTACTTTTTTTTTTATCATTTTAAAAGCTGGGTCTTTTCTCTCAGTTCAGTAAGTATTTATTGCACTTCCCTATGAGCACTGTGTTAGGCCCTGCAAACATTCTCTCTGCCCTTGAAGATCTTGCACTGAAATGGAGGGGTGGAGGTGGGATGGGATGCATGGAGGGGTAGGAGGTCCAAACACATTGTCTAGTTTTCATATTTTCACACAAGGCAAACTTCTGAATGCCCTGTTTGATCATCCTTGGCTTATTGTAGCAAGTCAGAATTCTCTAGATATCTTATCCTTGTTTATTGTCTTTTGTGTTTATTTATTTATTTTTAAATTGATTTTATTTATTTATTTTTTATTAAATCTTTATTGTTCAGATTATTGCATTTGTTTCTCTTTTTCCCCCCCATAACTCCCCTCCTCCCAGTTCCCGCCCCACCCTCTGCCCTCACTCCCCACCCACTGTCCTCATCCATAGGTGC